CTTTGAATAATGTTAGATATTATTAAACTGCATGTTATTTGATATGATATGTGCTTTGAGCAATTTAGCACTATTATTAGAATAATATCTTTTTTTCGGACTACTCTAATGCAGTTGGCCGCAGCTGGCCTTTACAGCTTTACAAGGCGATAAGGGGCGAGTGCAGATGGTACTCCAAACTCGCAGATTGAAGACTTATGGAGCGGTTGAAGTTCAACTGCCGCCTGACGGATACGTATTTAGTCTGAGGGTACCTCTAGGGGTTCGAACTGAGCTCAGGCCGTCGTAATTTCTATACCAGTTTGAAGGTGCGATCGGAGGGGCAGAATAATATTTGTACTCTACAGCACTGCACATACAATGAAGCCTTGCCTTCTCTAATAAATAATATTGGAATGTACCACTCTTTATATTAAGTATAATAGTTTTAAGATATAAACGTGTTGGTAATTAGTTGTAAGGTTATATTGTATTAATTGAATAAATAAACAGTAGTGTTACCCAATCTTAAAACACTTAACCTCATATGAAAAAATAAAAATCTGATATATCACGTACATTCGCTCAATTGGGTTCTCTAAACTCGTCATCATAATATTTTGATGATTTTTGGGGGTCAAAATCTCGTACAAATATGTACGAGGTTGAAAATGTTATCATACTGAAGGTCAACAATTTCTTATTTATACGAGGATCCTCGTACAATTGGCATACCTGCTATAGAGGTGATGTTTATAGATAAATTATTGCATCTGTTCAGTACAATTTCATAATTGAAAGTGTACATTGTTAATTGTAATCATCTGAAAATATTAAATGTCTGGAAACTAGAAATTTAGTATGATAAATAATTCCTTAATATTATTATCATGTCCTGTAACTGCTAAAATCAAATAAAAATCCATCTAAGAAAAATATTTTATATTATATTATATGTGTGTATGTACGTATAAAACAGTTAATATCTAAACCTGTTATATTAAAAGATGTATGATGTAGGTTTAAGAGAATTTCAGAATAATTCAGACAAAACCTGTTCAACTTACCGGTGCCCATATTACGGGTTATACAAATTATATTATTGCCACGCGATTTTGAATTGCAATACTTTTTCATTTAGGTACAAAATTGCTTAGATTGAGGGCTACAGGTCAATGACATAGACACAAATAGAGGGAAATTAACGTAAATTCAAGTGTTAAAATAACTTGAGCGTGTTTACCATCACAGAGAAATTTTGCATTCCTAATTTAAAATATGTATATTTTATTTTTACTTTGACTGTTGATCAAAGGACGTAATAGGTAAGTATAAAATCGACAGCTGGTGTGGTGTGTGGTGGTAACAGGTTCCATCACACTAATTTCTTGGTTTTTTTACTGCTCTCCTGTCTATATCACAGTTGGTCACATTTATTTCACATATTTTGAAAATTTTACTTATTTTGTAATTAGGTGAAATTTTTAGTTGTAATGAATATTGGATATTTAAATGCGAGAATTCGAAATTTAGGACCTCTTTTACACCAATGTTACACTTTCATGATACTCTCTCAAAAAGTGTCTGTGTCATAAACACATCGTTTTTAATATTTCTCAAAAACTGTATAAATTTATTGACCAAAATAACCAAGTGTGGAAGGAAGATATATTTAAAAATAACGTTTGATGTCGGTTAAAACTACAGCTTGAGTTAGACATAAAAAAACTAAAGCAAAAAAACATAATATCATAAACATCTTGTACGGGCGTCAGTAAATTAATTTATTTTAATTTAGATTTTATGGTAATTAAACTTGTTGTAGGAGAACAAAAACTCTTTAATTTTGTGCTTAGTAGAGTACTACGACTAACTAATATATAGAGTGTAATAGGCCATCTATTGCTAAATATAACTAAACTTGTTATAGAATATCTATTTTTATAAGAGCTGGTGGGAAAAAAATCTATGTAGTTACGTCATGGAATAATCCAATAGAAGCAATGAGATGTACCTAACGTTTGAAAATTAAGGTCAATTAATACACATTAATTTTATTATGTATTCTATAATTTGACAGATATTACGTATTATATAGAAAAAAAAAGTATTTATTTACTTTATTTATATTTGTATCACTTGTTTTGTACCCATAATAGAAGCTCTACTTAGCTCGGGAGTAGATGGTATTGTGTAAATTGGCATTGGGTTATTATTATTTTTCACAATTTTGACATTTTTACTACGAACCTAGTTGTATGATCTCGAATTGTGTATAAATAAATTGTTGAATGATCACATACCTGAGTACATAATAGAGTTTCCATTTTCATCTGTTACGATAGAGAATTAATGTTAATGGAATAAAATTGACAAGTTCTAAGATTCTTGTATTTATCGTATATTCACGATTTCGGTCGGGGATAAACTTTAAACTTCTTAACTAATTTTTATGAAACTTGACTTACTACATATATTTAACTCTTGCTATTCAACTTAAGAGATGGGATGGTTTTTATTGGCTTCAATTAGAACTTATTGAGTCATAGCGAAGAGTGGTCGGATTAATTTAAATAAAATATGACAAATTGTTTAAAATTTTGAAAAATAAATTAAGTAATACTATACGTATAATTTTATTTGTCAAATTGTTTATTCAGTAATGATTATTATTATTTATTATATTACTAGTATTGATACATATATTTATGAATAATTATTCATAAAAAATGTAAACTATGAAACTATACCTTAAGCACATTGCTGATACTATATGTATATATATATATATATATATATATGCGATTTTGTGTACGGCGTATTTTATGTAAATACGCCGTACACAAATATAAATATTATACACGTATGTATATATATACCCGTATACGCCGTATAAAACAAAGTCATACCCGCTGTCTATTCGTTTGTATCTTTAAATCTTTAAATCTAATTTACTCAACGCTTTGTAATGTAGTTTTCAGAAATAGATAGAGTAATTCAAAGGGAAGGTTTATATGTACAATCAATGCAGTATAGAACAAGCTAGGAAATTTAAAGTTTTGTAATGCATCCATGCGAAGTTGGTATAGATAGTTAGTGTTTCAATAAACACACGGATAATGGTGTCTTTACTTGAAATTTGAATAAAATGTATAAAAATTAGACAATCGGGCCAAGGTTGATTGGAATTCTATAAATCTAAAAACTGTGGCCGACTCAATGCAAGTGGGAAACCATTAGAGTGTGGTGAGGACGATTACAAGGACCGGCCCGTTTTCCGCAAACCGATCGCCTTTGTCAGCTAACAAAGAAATTGTTACATTGACGAATGTTCCCAATTTTTATCAATTGTCTTCTGAGTTCTAATATAAAAAATGTGTATTAATGCTGTTATTAAATTTAATTTGATTAATTAATAGTGAATCGATCAGGTTACGCGCTAGTGTAATAAGTTTTAGAGATTTTTCTTTTATCACTATTGAAATGATATAAATAATTTAGGAAATCATGATAACAAATATATATAGAAGTCATACTGTAGATTTTATAATATATAGCATTACAAGTTATTGATTTTCAAATAACTAAACAATCTTTTACCCGGAATCTTCTACGGGGTACACGGAATAACTTAATCATCAAAATTAACTAATTGGTTTTGGAATACATAAAGTAAATATTCATTTTTATTTATAAAAATATGTAAAGTGTTCTAAATGTATTAAGTAATAAATGAAATACATTTCTATAAATAAAATTATATAATTCAATCATTATTTATTCAATTTTTACACTAGTTTTCTATTATATGATTGCATAGGTCAACGCCGTGACCCCAAATTTGTTATTCAAATTACACTTAAATACAGACTGTTAAATAAACTATGTTTTCCGACAATAATAACGTTTGTTTAGAGTTTCTTTAAACTAAGAATTAACGTTCGATCGCGACTTTAACTTTTGTTTACTTTATTGGTCAACTGTTGATTTTCCTTTCATTTGTAAAACAATATTTGATTATGGCAACAAATACGAATACAATCATTAGAATATAAATTGGGAATACGTAAATAAGAATTAAAAAAAGAAATGAATTCGATATTTAAAATAATAAAGTTGGAATACAGTGTACTGATATATTTTCTTTGTCACATTATTGACAAATTTAATTGACTGTTTTACACATTGCCAATAATTTTGTTATTGTGACAAGATACAAAATTATTTACATTTATGTAATTTTTCCTTTAAAAGAACGTGCAAACCTATTTGTATATTTAGCACATTATATTGTAACGTGCTAATTATATAAAGAGGGTTTTTACATCCATATTAATGATTCAGATACTCATATTAACTTACGCCCAATTGTCGAAATTCGACCATAATTAATTCGACATTCTACTGAATGTTAAATTAATTGTTGTTTTACTGAATGTTAAATAATGGTAAGTTTCTTGCTTATTCTTCTTGTGATGAGACGAGAGAGTTCCGAATAAGCGGTAGATTTAAAAAAAATGTTGACTATTCTAAAGTTCTTAAATTAAGTTTATTTGAATAAATGATTTTCTATTCTATTCTAATTATAGACAAAAAATTGTCTATTGTCTTACTAGACAATAGACAATTTTTTGGTTATAATAAAAAATATTTATGTCTAATTAAAAAAAAATATTAGCATTCTGCATTCCTATAAACTGTAAGTGTACGAAATTTCATACTCCTCCCTCCGTAATTTTCAAGGAAATGTTGTTCACTTGTTATTATTTACTTAAAAAAATTATGCATTATTACAATGGAATATATATATTGATCGAGTTTTTGAGAATTATATGATATATTATGTTGTATTTAGAATTGTTATGTCTATAACAAAGCCGTCTCTGATCACCAAAATAACGGCCTAAATCTGTGAATGCTGGAAGATAATAACACGCTCCAGCTGTTATGCTAGATAGGGTCGACAGAAACATTATTATATGCTGTAATAAACTCAATTCTAATTTAGATTTTTGTTCCAGTGTTCGATGCATCAGCGAAATCCCCTCAAGGTTTGCTGTTCGGGTCCTCATTTCACTTGGGCAACTTTGATGAGTGTCTAGCTATTGAAGACCGAATTGATGATGATACTGTTGTATATGGACAGTACTGTCTGGCTAACATCAAATGGAGAAGATCTGAGGAATACAAAAAGGTGATTTGAAACAAACCATTACAAACACCAAATATTTGTAATATCTTTTAGTTTATTTTAAGCTAATTATTTTTCAAAGAGATCTCTCATACAAATATTAAAACAAAGATTGTGGCTTTGAGCGAAAGTAAATACGTTTTAAAGTTAGTATTTAATTTTATATGTTTAGTTAATTTTCAAAAATAAATATAGTCGAGAAAATCACGAACTCAGTATATTTACATAAACAAAACAACTTTATTTATTTTTAAAAAGAAAATAATATGTATTTAAGTGTTACATTTTAAATCATATGAAGGTTATTTGTCCCTTAATTCCATAGGCGCTGGTTTTAGAACTATTTTTTCTCGAGAACAAAATATACTCACCTGTCTTCGCTAACACATCGGAGTTTCAAATGAAACTTACTTTAAATATTGACTTTTAATAATTTTTGAGGAGACCGATAGATTTTTGTTGAAGAAGAAAAAGTGAGAGAATACAAAATAAAGTAGGTACATCGAAAACAAATCTATTACGCCTGTGAATATTTAAATAGCAACTTTTTGCAGTTAGTAGTAGTTTGTGTTAAATAGTCATGAAGGTGAGCCGGAACACCACCCAATGCTCAGAAAAAATATTCACGAATTCTTCGTAAAATAGGATGCTAATTCATTCGCAGGTAGCGGTCATTTATTTTTAGTTCAGTACCCTAAAATGATCAAAGAATGACGTCTTGGTCGTCTTGGTCTTGTTTATCTCTTTTAGATGTCTGCACATCTAAAAGAGATAAACAAGACCAACAAACAAACACAATTTTAGTGTAACTATATTTATTTATTGTATATAATTTTAGTTATTAAACTTTGCAATTAATGGGATACAGATTGAACTCTTAATTGTACATAGTTGTATAGAACGCGAACTTTAATTGAAATGTGACGTTTACCAAACATTCCCCTAGGTGGCGGTATTATTAAATTAAACTATCAGGTAGACAAAGTTACATGTAGAGATTGTAGAGCTTGTAATACAAAGTCATGTTTCCGAAATGCTCCACAAGATGGCGCTATTTGTATTTTCAACTATGAAACGAACGGAGTGGGTAAAAATAATGTTATTTATTGTTGTAATACTATAAAAATAATATTTCCAGGTACGAACCGGTCGCGGCGAGACGCTGCGGTGGGCGATATGCGTGCCAAGGGTCTGTCATGCAAGTGCTGTTGAGCAGTTTGTCAGTGATGTCCTTTCGCACACAGTTGGTAATACGACCAGTGTACAAGTCACAGAGAGAGACTGCTACACGAAGCGACCACTTACTCTCAATTCACTGGATGTTGCTTTTTTGTAAGTCATCATAAATACCTCAGCCTTTATTTAATAATACTAGCTGACCCGGCAAACGTTGTTTTGCCATATAAAATTTCATAAAATCGTCAAGCCGTTTCAGAGGAGTATGGTAACTAACATTGTGAGACGAGAATTTTATATATAAGATTTATGTATATTGAGAAAATTATGGCCACTCTAGTATTCTAAAATGAGATAATTACTAAATGTGTTATTTATGTATAATTTAGTAGGTATGATCAAATAAAGCTTAAAATTTAAACATAAATTACATGTTGCGGTCTAGAAATTTACTAGCCCGACGTATTTACCTCAAAGGGGTCAATATCGACAACAAAGCAATTTAATCCAATATACAAAGGCTATATACTACGTCAATTCAAATATTTCGCTGAAGTTATCTCGATTGTCAATTAATATAAGATTTATAGGCTTTGTCCTGCAAAACTACTATATTGTCTATAGGCTCATTTACTAAGTAGGTATGTTATTGAGAAAGTATATTAACGCATACACATTTGTGTATTCCGCTTTTACAATGTTTATATATTACTTAGTTATTATATAATAATAATGAAGAATGATTTCCGAATGCGGAAATACACCTGTGTTTGCTCGCATACTTGACCACAATGCTACCCTTCAAGTATTAAATTTAACAACTAACAAACGCCTACGGTTTGCGGAATTTGCCAAACATGCGGTTTTCGAGCCAAATATTTAAATACCAATAGCACAGCGGAAAAATACTTTATAATGTGTCTATATGGAGTGCTAAATACTACACACCTACCTACCGAATTCTATTAATACAATAAACATAATGTGTTTATTATATTAATAGGCAAAAACCCTATTTGAATTAAATTTAATACACACATAGAACATAATATATTAGACCTGCGATGTTAGCGCGAAATTTGAGATTTTTTATTAAAATTAATATTTTTTTAGAAATAAAAGCAGCCTAAGCCATATGATATTAACTATCTGCGAATGAATATTTCGTTAAAATAGGTCAACCGTTTCAGAGATTAGCTGGAACAAAAGGACAGACAGAATATTTATAATATTTTTTTAATGTAAGTACCGTAGGTATATATAATTTCATATGCATTCAGTGAAAAGCTGTTGTAAATTACGAACAGACACTGAAATTTTATTTATTTGTATATATTAAAAAATTATATAACAATACAACACTTTTTACCCGAATTCACGCGAGTAGTAATGTGGGGCAATGTATTATTATTGGGAAATATATAAACACCAAAACCGGACTTGTAATTGACATTTGACTTTCGAAAAATTAAGTACAGTTTTTTTTTGCTATGAATTTAATGTTACTGCCTGTACAAGTTATTTGAATAGATAAGTTATATATGATACCATCTCAGCTCACTTTAAGTTAAACAAAATAATTGTTGGCAAATGAGTAAGGAATAAAAATCGGTTGAGTAAAATAGTCCCATATTTATTGAAATATCTCTTTTTGTATGTACTACGTAGATGGCAAATAAGCATACGGTCCATCTGATGTTAAACGGTTACTATAGCTTATCTCTATCTTCATCTCAATAAGGAGTATAAATACACAAATGTAAGTTATTAAAGTCATTGATACACATTTATATCTTTACATTATTGCTACCTTCTAACCACTGTGTTATAAAGTTAAAAGAAAATATGTTACTGTACTCTATAAGTGTTCAGTCAAATAAACTAACAACGTACCTTATTTGATCACGAACAATTATTCTCAATACCAACATTGAGGTTTGCTATCTGAAGCTAAATTACACAATACCAGTCACAGTAAAACATGACGCAGGCATACATAAGATATTTTATACCAATTTACATATCGACGGCGAGAAGATAATATGACCTAAACAAACATTTTGAAAACAGTAGCTCTTAGTTTTTTAGGGATTCGTAGTTGTTTGTTTACCGGTATCTGAGGCTTTGAGGCTTCAGTCGAACGTACGAGTGCTTAGTAAATAGGTACGAATATCTCTGGGATAAGGTAAGGAGGCATAAGGTATAGGATCATCTTATCCTTAACTGTTAGTCAATGATACATCGAAACAAAACAATTGAACACGAATTTGATGGAGTGTATTTATATTAATACAGACTTTCTATTTAATACTTGAAATGCAAATGTGGGTCAAATTTTTCTATGGGTTAAAAGTTCTTAAAAATATTTTACCTAGTAAGTATGCAAATATGTTTACTATATAATAAAAATATAGCAAACTAATATTTAGGAAATCTTTGTACATATTTTTTGTTCATATGTTGTTATTGTAAACTATAAATTGAAGATGTTTGAGATTGAAGAAATAAAAAAGTATATAAGAATTAATAAAAAAGTAAGTCAAACAAATATCTCTTTTTGTGCTGCGTACTATAATTGTATGTATAAAGGGATATTAAGTCTAATTTACTTTTTATTAGTTTTCGGTGTATCACCGCAATTATAGCCATAAAATGTATATTTGTATACATATCATTTGTACAAATAAAAATTTCAGGTGTATTGATTTATTAGTCAAGACTACCATAACGCGATTTTATATGATGAAGAAGTCTTGTCTTAAAGAGTAGATAGTATATTTATTTATTTATTTTAGGATGATTAACGGTGTAATTTTACATGTTATTTGTCATATTAAATTGTCCTATGCCAATTAATAATCTTCGTATTACTTCGGATTATTTTTTTTTTAGATTAAAGTTTTCATTATCCAATTTTAACAAAATAATCACGTGACAGTGTTTTAGTTGTAGTTATACAGTACAAGTACACATAAGTACAGTACCCATCAGTAACTATGTATCCACAGAACACACAAATAAATAAATATAAAATAAACAAACTGCAAATAAAGTACGGCTATATACCGTATATATTTGCAGTTTTTTGTTTGTTCTTAATCGAGTCAATTCATTTCAATTAGTTCAATCTTTATACAGCTTATATCTTTTAAATTACGCAACGGTTTTGATGCAGTCAGCAATATATATAGTGATTCAATTGGAAAATTAATATGTACAATACATGCGAGCTATATAGAATAGAACAATCCTAGAAACTCAAAGATTTGTAATACATCCGTGCGAATCTGTGAAAATCCAGAACGGGTCGCTAGGTATGTGTGGCTAACAAACTGACGGCCCACTTGTTTGATAATGGTAACCTTCGCCTATATACATGAACAACACTATTTTGTTATATAGATAACGCCCTTTATACTTATGAGTTGCCATCCTGGAGAACTAAGATGTCATGCCTCATATCCTGAAATTTCTTTCGATTTTTTACAAAAGCTACCTCGATATAGCTATAATTATGTATCTTTGATGTATTAAAACGTTATCATTTCGTTTGTTGCAGGTCATTAATATTCCTGTTCATTGCGATATTATTGATGAGCACATCATATGAAATTTATTGCATACAATGGGACCGGAAGCGGAATTCCACGTTACATGATGTGGTTTTATCATTTTCGATCCTTAATAACATGAAAAAGATACTTTCTACCAAACAGAACAATAGTTTGGCTTTGGAAAGCATCACTGGGATCAAGGTTTTGGCGATGATCTTTATCATAACAGGACATGCTTGTTTATTTATCAGCGTTGGACCTGTCATGGACGCAGAAGCATGGGATAGGGTAAGTTGTTTTCTTAATAATAGTAATACTAGTAGAAAATTTTGTTTACCAATTATAAAGTTGGCACGTGTTGATACTTCAGTCTCTCCTAATTTTGCTGGCGTTAAGCAGTTATGTTCTGGTTTGAAGTGTAATGAGATATGGCAGAGAATTTCAAATACGATAGTCCTCAAGTCACTCCTCCTCCTTTATTTATCTTTCATTCATCTCTGTACTGCTGTTTATGTCTACAATTCAAACTGAAACTCAAAATCATTTACCTTTACCTTTTATTATTTACCTTTCGGCCTCTTGTGCAGCTGGTTTGATATTCTACAGAAATAAAAAGTATTGGTTAATAGGTGCTCAACCACGCCTCGTAAGCAGGGTTTGTACATGTCAAAATGTATGACGTTTATTATGATTTTACTACGGCTGGTTTTACTATTTGAGCTTATAGATATTAGTAGAAGATACTGGTCCCAACCCAATTATATTAATATGTTACCCACTAAAAATAAGTATAATACTTTGTATAAAAAGGCGGTCTTATCGTAAAAAGCAATCTCCTACGTACCACCTTGATAAAAAACCATGGACAATAATGGGATAAATTCAATGATTATCTTATGTGATAATTCCGTAATGAATGACGTTACAATTTACGACGAGAATTCGTTGAGTCTAATAATAAATGAACTACTATAAATACTACTTAGCACAGTCTACATATACTTAAAATATTTGGAAACTACTGTGATATAATGTAGCAAATAATGTATGTATTTTTGGGGTATTTCACTACGAATCATAGTTTAACACCTTGTTATTGTGACTTATTTTGCGGTTATTAGTCATCCGTATTACCAAGATTAGTTTAAGCTATGCAAACTTCCAGTATATAGTTCTAAGGGTTTTTACATATGATGATAATGATGACTGGCTGTTGATTTGCTATTTTGTAAATTTATCGTATAATTTTGGTTGTCCAAATGTTTGCTACTGATCACTAGAAACCAAGTATGACTAACGATATTCTTAGTATATTACTTATCTCCAACATAACGTAATATGTTCATAATGTCGTGTAATATATTTATTTTGTCTGAGACTCGAACACTATCTGGATTAATTTCTATTATCATCAAGACAACCCGTTGTCGTAGCCCTCTGCTGTTCACAGGTCACTCCCATAAGAGAATTTGCCCCTTAGAATTAGCCCCCGGTAGCGTTCTAGCTAGCTTAGCGTTTCTGTTCAGTCGGATGCTAAAGATTACTACGTGTTACTACTAATAAGGTTGTTCAAAGACAACATACACCACAAACATCATATGTGCGTGTCACTTTTTGTTATTATTATGTTTTTGAATAGCAAACAAGCTGACGGCATATCTGATGATAAGCGGTAACCATTGCTTTATATACATGAACAGCACTACCTATATCACGTTATCATCTGATACCCGTTATATCACTAATGCGATGCTATTTCAGAGGACTGAGATGTCATGCCTTTTATCGTGTCTAATCTGATCCCACAACCGAAACACGGCTTATAAAGCAAGCTGCTTGGCGGTTGAAATAGGTGACCCTGAGGTACCCACTTAGAGGTTTTTTTACAGTCTACCTCTGGCCTAGCCGTCTTAATACTTTAATTATCATCATACTTTCCAATTAAGATAATCCTATTTCATTACAGATATTACGCAATCCAGCCAACGCTTTCATGGAGAACAACATGATTTTGGTAGACACGTTCTTATTTCTGGGAGCGTTTCTATTCAGTCGGATATTACTTCCTGAACTGGATAAACGACGGGGCAGATTAAATGTTATACCAATACTACTGTTTCGCTATCTCAGGTATATATTATTTTAATTATAGTATCATAATTTTGTTCATTATAGAAATACAATACAAATAATCTTTTTTCAAATAAACTTAATATTAGCAAATTTGTATAATATTTTTTTATTCTATTACTCATTCGGAACGCACTCATCGCAAGAAGAAAGAGTAAGAAACTTACGTTTTGCTTTTTTAAATATATAAATGTTGCTCAGCATTACATTTTAAAGATTTTGTGTGAATACAAACTGCCAAATAGCAAAGTTGACTAAGTAAAGAAATACTTGTCCAAGGGTAGGGATAAAAAGACGTACGGATTAGGATTATGAAGTAGATTCTTTGGTTTGGGGGATATAATATAAAAAGCGAAACAGCAGTTTTAGAAGGAATATTTGTGGAGACTGTAGTAGGCCGGTCGATCTTACGAATCCGTATGTTCTATATCTCAGACTAAATAATTCACTACAATGGGACATGCATAATGCACTCATTTAATCTAAGCGCGATCGTTATGTTGAGTGCAAGAAAGAGAAAATAATTATTCAATGCTACAAAAAACAAAATGAATAGAAAAATATTAAAATCAACAAAGACAAATTTCATGGATAAAGCATTGAAATGGCTTCACTCAGCTTTATGGCATGTTCAGGGCGAATATGCCGCTAGTTTTTAGTGACACTAATATGGATTATTTAGAGGGTACTACTTAAAAAACAAATTGAATAAATAAAGAATGAACTACACTTAGATTGTGGAATGAACTTCCTGCCGAGGTTTTCTCACGAGACTAGCATGGGGTTTTTCAAAAAGAGTATATTAAGGTTTGTTAAAAGACGGCAACGCGCACGTCATACCCCTGGTGTTTCAGGCGTCCGGCGTGGGCACGGTAACCATTTACCATCAGATGGGCCGTATGCTTGCCACTTGCCATCATCATAGTATGAAAAAAAATGAAATAAACAAACGAAACAATAACTTAGTATAGTGTATGGCTTAGTACTCAATTATATATCAATCTTCACTGTAACTCATAATCTAACAAGCTATGTATATCAAAGCATTAACATGACCTTGATTGATCTGTAATTGCCGACGAGGGCAAATTGAATTCGGCTGTTCAACTACGTTATTAAACGTTGATTAAAGGTTCTGATTACTCTATCGAACCAATTTGTATCAAAGTATATAATTATCCGAAGTATTTGTGATGTTATAAATAACTATATGTTTGCGCGTGTTGGTAATTTAAGTACACATTCCTAAACATTCGTAAATTCAATTATATTTATACGCTGAATGCGAATGAACTGACAAAGAGTATCGGGGGTTAATTTTTATATCATTTACGATCCAATGCATTTAATAAACTACTTATAGACAACAAAAGTATATAGTGTTTTTTATTTATATATATTTCCTTTCATTGCTTTAAAGTATATAATGTTTCCATAATAATATGATTAAATAAATTATTTTCTGCCCGGTTACGAAAGAACTAAAGTAATCACGAGATAAATAAACATAAAGAGCAACACGAGAAGACTATAAAGACTATATTTCTGTGCAGGGTAACACCAGCTTATGCTATTGTCATATTGTTCTACATGACATGGTTCCCGAAGATCGGAGATGGTCCTATGTGGGAGAACAAGATGAGGTTAGAACAAGATAGATGTATGGAGTCGTGGTGGGCCAATATACTTTACATAAACAATTATGTCAACACAGATAAAATGGTAAGAATTCTCATGGCATTGTGTTTTTTGTAAGAAATAATCCTAATATTCTAAATTTTATGTCACAATAATCTGTAATAGTATTTTATCAAAGGGAGATTTTTAATCAGTAGCTAGCATAAGTTCTCACGTAATGTCTTTATCTCACCTAAGCATCTGCCACCAAGCAGCTTCATGCTGTGTTCTAGGTTGAAGGTTGGCAGGGAAAGTATAAAAGTACGAAGGTATGAGACATTTAGTCCTCAGGAATGGCAACGGATGAGGGGTACCTGAACCAGAACGTGTCACATGTCGATGTGATGGTGCAGTTGTTTACTCTGATATGTATCGACGATACTATAGCGCAAGAGCCCACAACGGCCAGACATACGTATTGTTCGTAGTAGTATTATAACTTGCCATATATGAAAAAATTGAGTTTCTTAAAATAACGAATTTGAAAATTTTTACACCTTTGTTACCTGTTACCTGCCATAATCCAGGTTTCATGTTTGGGGATCGTTTTTACCTGTGTTGGGGACACTCATACAAGAACTTTCACATTTACTAATAAGAGGTATGTCTGGCCGCCGTGGACTCTTGCTCTACTACTTTTCATAAAGAGACGGCCCGTCAGTATCGTTGTCGTTCTATTTACAAAAAATAAATGACTTGAGTTTTCATTTATTTTTTTAGGACTAGTGATCTGTTCCGGCTTTGCACGGGTGCAATACTGATACTAAACCTAAATACCGGTTTAAACGCACGCATTTAAATCTAAGTTAAGTTAAGTATTCCGAAGTAATATCTTCGGAAATATTCAATTAAATTATATGCTGTAATACTTAAAATTACATGCTGTAACATAAAAAAATGACTGTATTAAATTACGAGAAGTCGGTAGATAAGTTTACTGCTGAAATCGAGCGTCTTATTGAGCTTGTTCATCTTACACCAATATCATTGCATATTACAAAACAAAGTAGCTGTCGTTGTCTATCCGTTCCTATGTATGCTTAAATCTTTAAAACTACATACACATCGGATTTTGAAGCGGTTTTTTTTAATAGATCACTTCAAGAGCAAGGTTTATATATATAATACATGTACACCCGGGTGAAGACAGGGCAAGTAACTAGTAACATATATAATATACCTCTACCACTGAAGCATTCTAAGACCATCAATAATAAAAAACTTACTCTCTTGCGAGATGACGGGCAACCTAATGACTAGTCAGCTGATCGTATATGTAGGCAATATAGCAAGTTTATTTTATTGACAAACCACTTTTCGTTTCGAGTAAAACTGAATAATGATACAGTTTCTTTCATTATTATCGAAATTGAATTGAATTCTGAGTGACGGGACTGTACTATTATGCTAGTAAATATTATTAAAGAAAGGCGACTTTTAGCAAGAAATAATGTTTTTATTACATCAAGATATAATAGAGGAGCAGATAAATACAGTGAGAGTTTATATATAATATTTTTTTCTATAAAATTATAGGCAGAACATAATCAGTGTATATAAAAGGTGTCATGTATTTTGAGAACGTATGTACAATGGGCAGACAAGAAACAGCGGAGTAGACTTCACATTGCTCCCGTGCGGCATTTCCGTGCCCGGGCGGATATAACGTGTGGTTGGCATTATTTGTGGTCTACGGTGTTGCCATACCGTATATCACTGTACTAGCTGTGTCCGCGATTTCATCCGCGTGAAATTTATGGCCTATATGTTATTCTGATGTATAAGCTATATTACTATTAAGTTTCATCAAAAGCCGATCAGTAGTTTCTACATGAAAGAGTAACAAATATCCATCCATATTCACAAACTTTTACGTTTATAATATTATGTAGTTAGGTATCAGCGGCCTTATTCTTACTTAGTATCTATATTTTTACGAAAACTGCCTGAATGGAGGAGTATGAAATTACGCTCACTATAGTTTATAAAGAGAAGGCGTGCAGAATACTCATATTTTTTTTTAAATTATGCATAAAAATACATGTATTTGACACATTCATGCATATGTACTCTTTTGTTTATTTTTAGTCTGTGCTTAAATTAAGAATCGAACAATATTGATTGCCTTTAATATTGTTTGTCTATAGTATTGTATGTACCACTAGTGGTCGACTAGATTGATATTAATGTTTATTTTCTACTTTTCAGTGCATGTTTCAATCCTGGTATCTCTCTGTTGACACTCAATTGTTCTTTTTCGCTCCAATCTTCATATATTCACTCTGGAGATGGCGTCGATTCGGCCTCGGGTTATTGGGTGTAGGGCTAGTGGTATCCCTGTTGATACCAGCTGTAATTACTTATGTCAGACGATTGGATCCCACACTTTTATTATTTGCCAAGTAAGTAAAATTTAGTTTTTATTTTTTAATTTATCTATACATTTGGAAACATGTCAATCACATTTAATGTTTAAACAATATAATGGGAATTATCTATCTTAAATTATTCCAGTGAGTAAGTTCTGATATGTATATTATATGTCAATATTACACATATATATATGTATATATAGTATAGAATACTCACAAAGTTATGAGTCGGGTGAACCTGTGGTGGGCCACTAGTAACCAATATTTTTATGTTACTTTCTAATTCCTGCAGATTCCACAGTAAAATTTTAAAAATACATTACCAATAACCAATAATTGAATATAAAAAATCTTATTTCGTTACTCTCAAACATAAATATTACTTTATTTGAGATTTCTCTTAATTCTTTTATTTTGTTTCAGAGAATTCACAGACTTGATTTCCAATTTTTATTTCAAAGAAGCTTATATAAAGACACACATGAAAATAACGACATATTTAATGGGCTTACTAACTGGCTATATTCTATATCGGATCCAAAAAGAAAAGTGAGTAATTTTGTAATTCATATAGCGGCCGTACTTGAAATAATGTAAACAGAAGTAGACTTTGTATGGCCGACGTGGGTAATTCAGTTTTACCTATTTCAGATACCAAACAGCTTGCTTTGTAAGCTATGTTTTCGTTATAGGGTGAGAATAGGTTGTGAATTTACAGGATGAGACGCATGATATCTTAGTCTTACGGAATGGAAATTCTTGAGTACCATAATAAAGTGTTGTTCTTAATTCTATTCATGTACATAGGCGGCGATACAACTTACCTAGTTGTGGGTCGTCCGATCTTTGACATTTTTTTATACTACATAGGTGGTAAATCAGCGTACGGCCCATCTGATGGTAACCGATTACCGTAGCGTATGGACGTCTGTAACGCCATTCCAATTACATAAAAAAAATCAGACTATAAAGGGCATAAGGAAATAATATAGGTTGTATTTACATATACACTCATATATATATGTGTATACATATATATGTGTGTTATTTATATTTATGGAGAGGTATAGCGTTTACATACTAATTTAATACTTCGAATTTGTCATTAAAATGTGAAGATACAATAGTCGTAAAGACATATGTAGCCTTGCTGAAATGTTGTTCTTTTTTTTCAGTTACCAATTATCTCGGACATTGAAAATCTTCGGATGGACAACCAGTCTGATACTGGGTACGGTTACAACGTTTTCGGTTAGCATCTTCTATCAGGGGTGGTATCAGTACAACGCTATTGAGGCAGCAGCGTATATATCCCTACATAAGCTGGCATGGGCGATAGCGAATGGATGGATGATTATTGCATGCACCACCGGAAATGGAGGTGAGATATTATCATTAACAACAAATCTTGTAACAGTAAATTTTTATACCCTCTCCCTCTATCTATACAAATAGGAGTGTCTATTTGTAATTTTAAATGAACAGGATTTCACTGCACTGCATAATCTATTTAGATGTAATAGAATATGAAAACACACATTCAATTTAATGGTTTCCTTTTCCTTATGTCATTGTATTTAAATTTTTTTATAAACAACAAACTGCATTGCCTCATTTTAGTAATAATAAAACTCTTCTGTGTAATAGTGTATCGGATAGAAAATTATTCACCTGTTATATTAAACTCGTGAGAAAATATAAAAAAATAAGTTTATTGAACCTGTATAAACAAAAATATCATTGAATTCTTTTAATATAATAACATCTCGTTATATTTACGAATAATTTTCTAATAATTTAAGATGAAAGGACCTCGTTAGATAAAAAGACCGACCAAAAACCTTTCTCTTTGTCTCATCGAGAATACACGAATGTTTCAGCAAAACGACTGAAAACGAACATTATTTATTGGGTATTTTGTTATTCATAGATACTTTTTATTTAGTATTTTTGTGCTATGCTGGAAAAATATACATTACTTATATACGTAATAAACAAGAATACAATTGAACAAAAATAATAATAATCCTGGACATTTAACACAGTGCCCACTAGTACCCATAACACAAGCACAGCTTATTACTTATTATTTTACATTGCACTGAATAAAATATTTTTCTTTCTTTCTTTCTTTCTTTCTTTCTTTCTTTCTTTCTTTCTTTCTTTCTTTCTTTCTTTCTTTCTTTCTTTCTTTCTTTCTTTCTTTCTTTCTTTCTTTCTTTCTTTCTTTCTTTCTTTCTTTCTTTCTTTCTTTCTTTCTTTCTTTCTTTCTTTCTTTCTTTCTTTCTTTCTTTCTTTCTTTCTTTCTTTCTTTCTTTCTTTCTTTCTTTCTTTCTTTCTTTCTTTCTTTCTTTCTTTCTTTCTTTCTTTCTTTCTTTCTTTCTTTCTTTCTTTCTTTCTTTCTTTCTTTCTTTCTTTCTTTCTTTCTTTCTTTCTTTCTTTCTTTCTTTCTTTCTTTCTTTCTTTCTTTCTTTCTTTCTTTCTTTCTTTCTTTCTTTCTTTCTTTCTTTCTTTCTTTCTTTCTTTCTTTCTTTCTTTCTTTCTTTCTTTCTTTCTTTCTTTCTTTCTTTCTTTCTTTCTTTCTTTCTTTCTTTCTTTCTTTCTTTCTTTCTTTCTTTCTTTCTTTCTTTCTTTCTTTCTTTCTTTCTTTCTTTCTTTCTTTCTTTCTTTCTTTCTTTCTTTCTTTCTTTCTTTCTTTCTTTCTTTCTTTCTTTCTTTCTTTCTTTCTTTCTTTCTTTCTTTCTTTCTTTCTTTCTTTCTTTCTTTCTTTCTTTCTTTCTTTCTTTCTTTCTTTCTTTCTTTCTTTCTTTCTTTCTTTCTTTCTTTCTTTCTTTCTTTCTTTCTTTCTTTCTTTCTTTCTTTCTTTCTTTCTTTCTTTCTTTCTTTCTTTCTTTCTTTCTTTCTTTCTTTCTTTCTTTCTTTCTTTCTTTCTTTCTTTCTTTCTTTCTTTCTTTCTTTCTTTCTTTCTTTCTTTCTTTCTTTCTTTCTTTCTTTCTTTCTTTCTTTCTTTCTTTCTTTCTTTCTTTCTTTCTTTCTTTCTTTCTTTCTTTCTTATTAGACAACTGATATAAATACATAGATACTTTTTTTGTTAAATGTGGTGGCCAGCATGTTGGTGGGGACCCGGGCCACAATCGCCTTGAGACTTGATGTTACGTAATGTATTCCTTTATAGGTATTTTCGCGAAGCTGTTCAATTGGAAACTACTGGTGCCATTGTCCAGATTAACTTATTGTGCTTACCTCGTGAATGGTATTGTCGAATTGTACTATATAGGACAGTTGAGACATCCAGCCCATCTCACTATGTTAACTGTGGTAAGTAACTAGATTTAAATGAAATTTATGTGCATATCTATGATATATTTTGCCACTTTACATTTTTTTTATACCACAATGGTGTAGGGATTGAATGCACAGCAGCAGTAAATACAGTAAAATATATATATTTAGTAAAAGTAACAAGGCTCATTTACGATATGTCAATGGAAAATTTTTCGAACAATAGAAGACATTTTCTTTACATAAAATTCAAATTTTCTTCTACCAATACCGGCCAGATATAAATTTAAGTTCCAATAAATGGTGGCAAACAAGCATGCATATGCCCATCTGTTGGTAAATGGTTACCGTAGCCTATGGACGCCTCAGACACCAGGTGTGTCACGTGCACGTTGTCGATCCTTAGGTAGTGAGTATATCCTTTATAAAGGTAAATAATAGTTAAAGACAAAATCAGAATAATTTATTTATCACTCCTTCATTCATCAGTAGTATAAATAAAAAAAAATTTGTGTCTTATGAATTAAATAAAACAAAAGTAAAGTTAATCACGTTTTGATCTGTCTTAATTATATATCTAGTTTTTAAATAGATTTGATTATTCAGTTATTTATTTTTATTTAGAAAACCAAGGCTGTTTATAAACACAATAATGATTATAAATAACCCAGGGAGACCACTTACAGATTTTCAAAGATAGAAAATAAATTAACCGTACTAACACGAGAGGTCTTAAGATCTTAATATTAATAATAAATTTGTAACAAGAATTCTATTATACGAATGTATATTTACTTTCAGGCAGCAAATTCCATTTCACACTTGGTGCTGACGTTTTTCCTTGCCTTATTGCTGTGTATTACGTTTGAAAGTCCAATACACGGCATCGAGAAGATTCTTCTCAAAAAATTCGGTAAGTTCCTTTTACATCCTAATAAATGAAAAAATATTTAGAAATGAGTAGAGAAAATAAAAAATCGAACGGAGTTGTAGACGAATGAAAAACTTTCTTTTCTGCCTACTTTGTTAATGATCTGAAGCATAAAATTTCCGCTTTGGTTTGTATACAATACGCTTATATAAAACTGGCAATAAAGAATGACGACCCATCCGATGGTAAAGGGCAATTGTTGGCTATGTACAAGAACAACATCTTGTGCCGTCTGTTGTGCCTACCACTCACGCTTTAGCATTGAGGACTTAAATGAGGAAACTAATGAGAATGAAAATAAAATATTAAAAAAATGAGGAGACTAAAATGAGAACCTGAGGACTAAAATGTCATGACTCTATATACCCTATATTACTATTCACTACCAATTTTCACCGAAGCTTATAAAGTAAACTTAGTGGTTGAAATAAAACTTAGTGAACCTAGAAGTGTCTTATAGACATAACTTTATACAAAGTCACTTTGGGTAGACTTTATATTGAATAATAAAAAATAAATGAATTATGATGTCTCAGTTATCATTTTCTAAGGACTTATACGTCCTGTCTCCGTTCTCTGCAATATTATTATCATCACTATCAAACGAGCAAAGACTTCCACGAATGAATTGTTATAGCTGTTTGTCAGTAATTTCTAAACCTTTACATTTTTAATTACAGTTGGTCCAAAAGTGAGTGATAACACGAGAGGAGATCAATCTCAAGAATCATCGAGAAACACTAGTCAATCAAAATTAGATTCATAGCAAAAAAATTGTTTTAGGTAAAATTATTTTAAATAGTAATATTATAATTGGATAGGGTGTATTATATTATAATATAAAATTTTTAAAAACTGGTGATAAAATAAATGTAAATACAATATTTCTTGAGTACTTATATAAATATGTTGCGTTTATATAAATTTAATTTGTTACTTGTAATATTTTTACATACAGGGTAAAAGGCGTAAGGAGTAAGTTGACTTGAGAATGTGATCGAATCGAATGGACTCAATTAAGGTCGATTGAAATTCAAATTTCTTAATAATACAATTAAGATAATGCCATAAAAAGTAATAGGGATCGACTATTCAATGCCAATTCGATTTGACCTGATATGATTTTGTAAAAATTTAGCTAGAGATAGCTGAATTTTCTATGATGATTTTAATATCTATTCTAATATTGGAGTATAACCTCGAAATATGTAAATAAGAATAACGAATAAATCGATAATATCGCATAATGCCCATGACCATGGCCATGCAACAAGATGGAATTAGTATATGTGGATCCTGCACACAAACAGCCCTGGCCAATTCATACAAAGCCAGCTTGGTCCCAAGACAAGCAGAGTTTGTGTTATGGGTACTAGATAGATAGATAGAAATATTTTAATATATTTTTTTAGTAATAAATAATATAAGTAGGCAATAGCCAAACCAATACAAACTCTTATACTCATGAATACTTTTGTATGTACTGTGCAAAAAATCGAACGACCATCGGAAGTAAAGCAGTGTGCTAAACCGTTAGCGTGATATAACTTTTACGAATAGTTGTATTAGGATTTTGTATAATAATAAATATACCTTCACGACTTATTACCATATGGTATAGTCATATACATATTGCACTAGTTACCTTGTTGTTTATTGTTATTCAGTATTATATAATAAATAAATATAACATTATTTATATTAAGACTAACATCAGTCAAATGTGTGTAAATATATGGTCATAAAAATGTAGTTTATAATACTTTTATGGTATCTATAAATATAAATAACAGTTTACAATAGTCATTGAATGGTATGCGTGAATTCATAATTTATTTGCACTATTGACTCGCTCTCTTGTCATATTCTATTAGTGTGATTCGGTCACATTATTTGTTTATACAACCACCTAGTAAGTAGGTACCTGGCCGACAGAGTTCCGATCGTTTTTTTAATAGATGATAATGGAATAATGCACCCGCCTTCGCTAACAGTTTAAGTTAGCGGAGCACCAGTGGAGGATGATAAAATGAGCATGAAGTCAAATTAGTTAGCCTATCTTGGCAAATGGCAATTTACCACGATGGTTTCCAGGGAGAACCGCGTGGGGGTCAACCTGATATTGCTAGCAATGGAGTTAGCCCACATTACTAACAATTCCCTTCTCCCTAGTTCCCCTCGTTGTCTATATTAATATTATTTAAAAATGAGAATTTTCCTTTTGATCAGACATTTAGTTGTTTTTACATGAAAAACCACTAAGGATAGTGAATAAATTTTAATTAATGTAATTCGTTAGAGAGTGTGAGATATGATTATTATTACGAAATATATATATATGTCTAAATTAACAAACCAATACACCTAGGTATAGAACGAATACCGAATGTTATTTATTGTTATAAACTTATATATTTTAGTTTGTAAGGAATTATTGCTCAATGTATTGTATATTATAGTTTAACTCAAGAAATAAAGTGATTTTTTTATATTATTTTATGAACTTGTTTTTACTATAATGCATTTACTAATCTTGTATTAATTAACAGTTATTGAATTATAGAAATGGATATATATAGTAATAGATATATGTAGAGAATATCATTAGATGCTATCTATATTGAAAAAGTATAGAAAAAAACGATTGTTCTTGAACAAATTGAGAAGTTTCTCCTTTTTCGAAATAGGATGATAAAATATAATATTCGTTAATGATACGAATGATAATTGTTCTTATATGTTTAGTATTTTATATTAATAATAAACTTGGACCATTCAGACAGCGCAATTTTGTCCCACATTAAGCAGAGCTTGTGTTATGGCTACTGAATAACTGACAGAAATATTTAAATACATGTTTTTGTATACACTATATATATACGTATATATGAAAGCACATAGAACAATATATATACTGATCAATACAAATGTTTGCATCCTGTGAGGAATGGAACCCATGACAATCGAGTCTGGTAAACCGCTACACCATCGATGACTTCAAATTTACAGTCTAGTTTTTAGTTAGACAAATTAACATCTACATACCAACTAGGTGCAAAACAACGGAACCGTCTTATATAACTCCGTGTCAATATTTATTGATCGTTTAAAAAATCGTACCTGAATTTTTAATGTATTTAGAATGACAAACAAACCGACTGGCCAGTTGATATAAAATGGTAACAATCGTCGAAATACATGAATGTTTGGCATAACACATCTATATATATATATCTATTCTCTCGTGTTTGCCATTTCTGAGGGCTAAGGCTACAGCCAGGTATATTACAGACTATTTTTTATCTTTAATATATAGATTTAACAATGATTTGATTGAGCAAATTGAACCAAAAGGATAGAATTTCTTTACATATTTGCATGGGCTACTGAAAGAAGAAAGAAAGAAAAGAAAAACATTTATTGTCAACCATTTTTACATATACATATATACATACATACATACACACTTAGAACAATTACAATAATAATAATAATTTATCTTATTTCTAAATATGGTTGACAACATGACTGACACTCAGCATATGCCGTGACAGCTAACTGTCACGGCGCTGGTATTCTGTGCCTGCCATTAGTGACAACACGTACAGCTCGATGTCAGTTTTTTTTTGACCTTTGACATCTGTCAGATGTCATTATTGTTACTGACAGCAAAATTTTTACACGTGTTCGAGACCTGCCACGTACACAATTACAATTTTAAAATTAATATTAAGGAACATAAAAATACTACAGTTACTAAAATACTACAAGCACAACAAGAAAAAACACAACACAGAGGGATTATTCTCCGCTACATCAAGCCACCATCCACCGCCGTGCCCATCGTGCAGATCCAAAAGGTAATTTAATTTAATTAGACAATTTTTGACTATTAATAAGATGTTCTCTAAGACATTTACTAAAACTATATTTTGTGGTTTTAGCACGTAATGGAGGCGGAATATTATTCCAGCAAGACGTAGCGGAGTATCTGAAAGAGCCCCTGAAAGACGCAGTTCTATGTTTTTGAGTAGTAAGCAGATGAGAGGAGGCCCTTGTGCGATAGTTATGACTATCACGAGACCACGACAACTTTTCAGCAAGATATGGAGGTTTATTTGTTTTAATGATTCCAAATAAGAGAGTGGCAAAGTGTAACTGTCTTCTAAAATTCATCTTCAACATATTTCCTTTATTGAGATAAGGTGTGACATGTGCACGTGGAGGAACATGATAACAAAAACGTGCACAAGCATTCTGTACACGCTGTATTAAGCGCTCTGATCTTGCAAGAAGACAAGGTCCAAATGTTGCATCTGCATAATTCAACTTTGACAATACAAGAGACTCACACAACTTTATCCTCAATTCCACCGAAAGATATTGTCTAATTTGGTACAAAAGCTTAAGTCGATAAAAACTATTCCTGGTGGCCTCAATTATATGTTTCTCAAAATTCATGTTAGAATCAAAGAGAACTCCTAGATTCCTTGCCTCCGTTACTCTTTCAATAGATTTCCCATTTATAGAAACAGGCAATGTCATACGTTCTATAATACCATTCACCTGTTTCTTTGTACCAAGAATTATATATTTTGATTTGGTTGGATTAAGCACCAGGCAGTTCTTATTTGACCACAGACTAACTCTCTCTAGATCTTCATTTAATTTTCTAATACTGTCCAGTGTATTCTTCGGGTGACAATCAATATACAATTGCAGATCATCTGCGTAAAGATGATATTTGCAATGCTGCATGCAATCAATGATATCAGCACTGTACAGAATAAAAAGAATTGGACCAAGAATTGATCCTTGAGGTACTCCTCTGTGTACTGATCTAGGTGCTGAATAATTTCTTGTTCCACAATTTGATTGAATCTCCACTATCTGCATTCGTCCAGTGAGATAACTATGGAACCAGGAGACTGCGCAAGAGTCAAATCCATAGTATGACAGTTTTGACAGCAACAATGATGAATTTATTGTTTCGAAAGCACGAGAAAAATCTAACAATGCCAAGACTGTCCCCCTACCCTGATCCTGCTCATTTATTGTATTGTCAATAACATCAAGTAAAGCGGTAGTGGTGCTGTGTGACTTACGGAAACCTGACTGAAATTTTGGGAGTATATTTTCTTTATCTAAATAAGTAGTAAGTTGTCGACCTATAGCCCTTTCCAATAACTTGGAAATACAAGGGAGAATATTTATTGGACGAAGATCCTTATATTCAGTTGGATTTGAAGATTTCGGTATTGGTTTTATTAGAGAACACTTCCATAAGTCTGGGAAGATGCCTGAGGTAATTGATTTATTTACTATAGTAGTTATGACACTAAGTGTATATGGTAAAGTGAGCTTGATCATGTCAAGTGAAATAAGATCAGTACCCTGAGCATTGGAATTAAGTGTCCTAATAATATTTATGATATCCTGTTCTGAAACCGTGCTAAACTGAAATACAGATTTACTAAATCGGTTGAATTCATAATATGTAAGTTCAGACAATTCTACAGAATCTCTACCCGGTAAATTCAGGAAATGGCTGTTTAAGGCATCTGGGTTGTCAAATGACTCAGGAATACAGTCCCCATGCATTTTCTTTGGGAGAACAGATGTTTTAAGGTTGGACCATAACTTTTTAGGATTATGAATGTGATTGTTAATGTATTTGTTATAATAGGCAAATTTCTCTGAAACAATGGCTGCCTTTACTACGGCTTTCATGTCTTTATAAAAAAGTTTATGCATTTCTAATTTTGTTTTTTTATACCTTTTATGGCTGTCGTCTCTGATCTTCATCATTTGTTGCAGTGTGTCTGTCAACCATGGAGGAGATGGATGCTTAATTGTCAGTGTTTTCACTGGAGCATGGAGATCAAATAATCCAAGCATAAAATTATTGAAGGCTACAACCATTTCATTAACATCAGCTAGTCCCTCTATATACTTCCAATCTATGCTGTTGCAATCTTTATTGAATTTTTCTATTACTATATTCTTTAGAGGTCTGTATGTAGTACAGTATGGTACCGGTTTAACTCTGTTTAAAGATAGCTCCGCTGATATCAATGCATGGGCACCCAATTCTGGTATATAATTAACTGTCACATTTTTAATTGTAGGAGTATCAGAACAAATTACGTCAATCAATGTTTCAC